GTGCCCCTCATCGTTAACTATTTTAAGTTCCTTTCTGATTATTCAGTATCTGAATCACAAGTGGTTATTTCTTTCTCTTGTATGTTTTCCTCCTGTTTTTTTTAAAGTTCTATTACTTTTAAGCATGTTTCATAACTTTTTATTGGATACCAGATATTATGAAAAAGTGTAGAAGTACGGAATAGTGTTGTCGACCTTCAAAAGTGTTGTTTCCTCTGGCAAGCATGTAGTTTACCAGCAAATTACCATAATCCTGTTTAGGTGGGTTAAAGCTGTGCTTTGTTAGAGCTGGATTATTTCAATTCTGACTTTATTCTTGGGTCATGTTCTTATTTCAAGGGAATTGCTGTAGACTGAATTGTATGTCCCCTGCCCCAAATTCATATATTGAAGGCTTAAGCCCCAACGTGACAGTATTTAGAGATGGGGACTTTGGTAGGTAATTAGGTTTAGATGAGTTCATGAGGAAGGAAACTTCATGTTGGGATGTGCGCCTTTGTAAGAAGAGACACCACAGAACTTGCTCTCTCTCCACAAGTGCACAAAGGAGAGGTCATACAAACACACAGCAGGATGGTGGCCACTACCAAGGCAGGAAGAGAGATCTTTACCAGAAACCAACCATGCTGGCATCCTGATCTTCCAACCTCCGAAACAGTGAGAAAATAAATGTGTATTGTTTTAACTACCCAGTCTATAGTATTCTGTTTTAGCATTCAGAGCAGGCTAAGGCTAGCATGGTTCTGACTCCTAGGGCCTGTCCCTTCTATGAGATATTAATAGAAAGCCTGGGGTGTTTTCCGAGGCCCATTCAGCTTGGCAGGACTTGAACTCTAACCTTTATGTCCCTAGCCTATGAAGCTGCTGAAAATCCTGTTCAGCTTTTAGCCTCTGGTCTGGTCTTGCCTGCTGGGTTTCTTGGAGTCTGTCCCTATATACGTATGGTTTAGTCATCAGCCAATCACTGGAGTGTAATATCAATGGATAATTTTGGAGTCACTTCTTTATAACTCCCTCCTTTCTGAGATTTTGCTCTTCAAGTTCCAAATTCACGTCCTCAGTGAGACTGCTACTTTCTGCTTAGGTTCTATTATCCCATACATAGAATTAGATATAACCCCAGAGAAAAAGCAAGGAAATTAGCTCTCTAATGCCTTAAGTCATTTCATATATTTTGTCCATTTCCATTATTGTTTTCAATGGCAAAGGAATCATTCTGAATGTTCTGTGAAGACCAGAATAGGAAGTTCTTTGGAGACCAGAATACTCATATTTTAAGATTCAACCTAAATGTGACTTCCTTTGTAAAGTTTTTCCTGATTCTTTTGCTCTAAAATAAAATTATCATCAAGTGGAACTTTTCCGGTTGCCATAGAACCTGTCACATACCTCTGTCATTACCCTTACCAGATAACATTTCCATTTTTACGGAACAATTGCCTAAGGGATTCACCTATCAATTTCATTTCATTTTCTGAAAAATTCCTTCAAAGACCTAATTATATTCACTGTGTCTCATTTTTCTCCCCATCTCCTCCAACTTTTCCTTGAATGTACTCCAAACTTGCTTTTGCTCCCACCATACCACTGAAGTTTACATTACTGTAGTCATTGACCATTTCCATGTTATTAAATCCAATGGTGAATTCTCAGGCCACATCTTAACTTCACTTCTTCGCAGCAACTAGCACAACTGATCACTCTCTTAAGGATGCTCCCCTGACCTAGGTTTCCGCCACTTTCCTAGTGGCTCCTCTTCATCTCGACCTCTAAACATTGTAGAAGCTCAGGGCTCATTCCTCAGACCTCTCTTCTTTTCTATCAACACTCCCTTTCTGGAAGATCTTGTCTCTTAGTTTTAGATACCATCCATGTGTTGGTAACATTCTAATTTCTATTTCCTACCTGGACTTCTTCCCTGAACTCCATACTCACATATCTATATGCCTACTTGACATCTCCACCTGGGCATTTAATAGACATCTCAAACTTTAACAAGCTCAGAGTTTCTGATATGTCCACCAACATGCTATTGTCACTACTCTTTCTCTTCTCCATCAGCAACCCTCTTTCCAATTACACTCAGGACAGAAAACTTCTGGTTTCCTCTTCATTTCTCACACCCTGTTCCTGATCTCCAAGCTAATCATGACTTCCACCTTCATATTTTATCTAGAATCTGACAATTCCTCACTATCTCCATTGCTATCACTCTCATTCAAGCCATCCTTATCCTGTCAACATTACTGTAATGACCTTCAAACTTGTCTTTCTACTTTATGCTTGTTCATTTTATTTTTTAAAAGATTTTATTTACTTATTTGAAAAAGAGAACAAGTAAGCAAGGAGGGGGAGGGGCAGCGGGAGGAGAGAATCTCAAGAAAACTCCGCATTGAGCATGGAGCCTGATGCAGGCCTTGATCTCACAACTCTGAGACTATGACCTGAGCTGAAATCAAGACTCAGACTCTTGGGGCACCTAAATGGCTCATTTGGTTAAGCTTCTGACTCTTGGGGGAACTTGGGAGATTAAGCCTCCCCACCCCACATGCTCTTGCTCTAAAATAAACAAATCTAAAAAAAAAAAAAAAGACTCAGATGTTTTAACCAACTGAACCACCCAGGCACCCCCGGTTCTTGTTCCTTTTACTGTATTTTCAACTTAGCATCCAAAATGATCCCATTATAATGTGGACCATGATTTTTTCCACACAAAACCTTTCAATGACTCCATAATTCAAAGTAAAAGGCAAACTTCTTTAAATCATTTACAGAGCCTCACATAGTCTCCCCTGCTCCCTACCTACCTTTTCTGACCTCATCCTCTATTACTACTTTTTATCTTCCCTTTTAGGCACCTCCTTGCCATGCTCCTATCCTGAGCCTCTGTCCTTGCTTTTCCCCAAAATATCCTCATGGCTTCCTCCCTCACTTCCTTTAGTTATTTCTCAAATATAACCTTTGCACTTGGCCACCCATCTAATACCATGAATCCACTCTCCATACATACATGCACATCTTCGATCCAACTTTGGTGCTCTTTTTTCTCTCTTAGCACTAACCACTAACATACCACAATTTCCTCACTCATTCATCTCCCCCATTAGCATGTAATCTCCACAAGGGTAGATATTTTTGATTTATTCACAACTGAGTCTTTAGTGTTTACAAAAGGTGCTCTGAAAATTTATTGAGTGGATGAATGCCTTTTTGGATCACTTCTATCTACCATCAGATATTCTTATATCTAGTACCTGCTTAGCATACATTAGTCAGAAATGTTTGTTGAATGAATAGGTACCACCTTCATCTTTTTTATAGGTATTTTAAAAATAAAGAAGTTTTTTAATAGTTTTAGTTTCAAAGAAAAATTGAGTGGAAAGAGCAGAATGCTCCTGCATATTTTATTTCTTCCCCTACCTGCAAAGACAGACTACCCTGCCATCAACATTCTGCACCAGTGTGGCATGTATGTTAATAATCAATCAACCAACACTGACACATTATCATGCAAAGTCCATAGTTCACATCTGGTTTCACTTTTTCTTGTACTTTTGTGGGTTTTGACAATATATAATGTATTCACTATTATGGCATTATACAGAATAGTTTTGCTGCCCTAAAAATCCTGTGCTCCACCTCCCTGCAAACCTGACAACCCCTGATTTTTTCTGCCTCTGTATTTTTGTCTTCTCCAGAATGTCACATAGTTGGAATCATTTATTATGTACCTTTTTCAGATTAGTTTTCACTTAGAAATAAACATTTAAGCTTCCTCCATGCATTTTCACGGCCTGATGGCTCTTTTTGTGTGTGTGTGTGAATAATATTCCATTGCATGGATGGACAAGTGTTTTTGCATATTCACCTACTGAAGAACATCTTGGTTGCTTTCAAGTTTTGGCAATTAGAAATAAATGTGCTATAAACATTCATGTCAGATTTTTGTGTAAACATAAGCTTTCAACTTATTTGGGTAAATACCAAGCCATGTGGTTTCTGGACCATATGAATGGTAAGATTACTTTCAGCTTTTAATGCCCAACTCTCTTCCAAAGTGGATGTACCAATCTGCACACACACCAACAATGAATGAGAATTCCTGTTGTGCCATATCCTCACCAACAAGTATCATCAGTGTTTCAGATTTTGGCCGTTCTAATAGGTATGTAGTGGTATCACACTGTAGTTTCAAATCTGCAATTCCCTAACGACCTGTAATGCTGAGCACTTTTTCCCATGTTTGTCATCTGTATGGTGAGGTGTCTATTCAGATCTCTTGCCCTTTTTCTAATTGGGTTGCTCCTTTCTTTATTGTTGAATTTTTAGTATATTTTGGATAACAGTCCTTTATCAGATGTCTTTTGCAAATATTTTCTCCAGCTTGTGGCTTCTTATTCTCTTGAAGTATACATTTGACCCTTGAATACAGGGTTGGGGCACCAACCGAACCCACACAGTTGGAAAATAAGCATAAAACTGACTCCCCGAAAAGCTTTATTAATAGCCTACTGTTGACTGGAAGCCTTACACTAACAGTCAATTTAACACATAATTTATATATTATATATATCATATACTGTATTCTAACAATAAAGTAAACTACAGAAATGTAAATGTTTAGAGTATCACGAGGAAAATACATCTAGAGTACTCTACTGTATTTCCCAAAAATATCCACCTACAAGTGCTCCCGTGCAGTTCAAACCCCTGATGTTCAGTGGTCAAGTGCCTATCTTTCTCCAATATGTAATCATGTGTGTACGGTCTGCTTTCTAATATAACCCTATGGCACTTCCCATTTTGCTTGAGACTTCCTAATCTCCATTCTAAAGGGCTGCAAGATAAATATCACATTTCTTCCTCCACAGCGCGATTATGCCCACTTCACGGATGAGGGGAGATAAGAAAATGGTAATTTGCCTAAAGCTGTAGGGCTGATAACGCGCAGAGCTCAGAGTGGGAGTTGCGGGGAGTGGTGGCATCTTCCCAGTGCGTACCCCTAGACCAAGCTGCTTCTCCCCAGCGGCGGCGGTTTCTATGATTAGGTAACATGTCCTCTTTTGGCCTCCCGGCTGACTCTAAAACAAAGTAAATCCATGATACTCTGGGTGACATCTCCGGGAATTTTAAAATCTGGGTGCAAGGCACGGTTGGCCGCGGGGCAGGCGCGCCCTCGGCTTTCCCGATTGCGGAGCCCGCGGAGGCGGAGCGAGCAGTCCACGCCCTCTCGCCGGCCCCAGCGCCCTCACTCGACACCCAGAGGGCGCGGACACCGGACCAGAGCTCCCGGAGAGCGGCGGTTTTGGCGGGCCCCAGTCTCGAGGTGCGCCAGCCCGCCGTCCCGTGCAAGCAGGGAGCCCGAGCCGCGCGGCCGGACGCGCACTGACCGGCGGGACCCACGGAGCCGGGCGCGGTGAGCGCGCAGAGGGGCGCGGCCGCTCTGCAGCTCGGCCTTCCCGAGCTCCACGAGCTCCATCCCCGGCGACCCCCGTGTCAGGCTCGGGCGTCTGCCCCCTGCCTGTCCCGGCGAGGCTGTCGCGGCGTCGGAGTAATTCCGGAGCCTCCCACCGCTGCTTCTTTCCTTCCTTACCCAGGCCTCGGGAAGCTTGCCGCGGAAACGAAAGTAAATAACTCGGGGCGCGTCTGCGCGGAGGCAGCGGCGGCCACAGCTAGGTTCGCCCGGAACCAGCTTCCAGGCGGGGGTGGGGTTTCCTGACTAGACTGGCGGGCGGTGGGCGGGGACGGCGTTCACCGGAAGTCCACCCTTGACTGGGCCTTTCGGTTGGTGGGCGGGGCTTGCGGCGGAGGGGGAAGTTGAGTTGTGGGAAAGGCGTCGGTATTCCCGGAAGTAGGGCGGCCGGCTAGACGTGTGGAATTTCCCTGAGTGAGCTGCAAAACTGTCAAAAACCCACCTGCGCTCCTTTCTCTCCCACCAGGTGTTAACTCCGTCCGAGGGCGCAGACCTGGCCTCGGGCCAGGAGGACGGTGTGGCGTTGGGTTTTTGCTATCGTTGTTTCGTAGCGGTGATGGGTTTTTATTACAGTATCATTAAGATAGGTGGCACACGCTCTCCTCGTAATAGGATGACGTACCAAGCCTTTGAAAGGGCTTTTACTCTTGCCCTTGGGGTCGCGCGCGGGAATCGCAGAGAAAAAGCATTTTGCAAAGCATTTCCGCATAATCTTAGATGTGAGCTGGCAAATGAGAAGGAGGGATCCACTGCCACAACGACAAAAGGGATGAATGTCATAACCCTAAAGACCTCTCAGGTAGTCAGTGGCGTTTGCTTTTACTAAAGTGCTGCAGAATCTCGTTAGAGTTTGAAGAGGTTAAGCTACATCCTCCTTTCCTAAGCATCTGACAAAACTCCAGGGGGTGGGGGGGGCGGTTATTTCTTCGTCTCTTGCTGATCATTTGGCTCCTCCTTGCCCTGAGCTGTTGTGTGTCTTGGCAAAGCTCGAGTCTGTTACAGTCAACCAACTTTTCAGAAGTCCTTGGGTCTTTAGACCACTGTTAAGTCTTCCCTTGATTACACCTGAAGAAATCAAGGCACAAGTAACCTTTGGAACATAGAGTGACTTAGTAGTTGATCTGCATTTTGTAAACACCAGGTAGATGCCAGAGGAAGGAGGAAATTGCAGTCAGTTAAAAATGTGGTGCCTGGGTGGCTCAGTCCCTAGGCATCTGCCTTCAGCTCAGGTTATGATCCCAGATTCCTGGGATGGAGCCCCAAACCGAGCCTGCTTCTCCCTCTCCCACTCCCCCTTCTTGTGTTCCCTCTCCCGCTGTGTCTCTCTCTGTCAAATAAATAAATAAAATCTTTTAAAAAATGGGGAAAACTGCTCTTCTAAACACAGAAAAGTGAAGACTAAGTTTGTTTAAAAACTTTAGGGTGTATGGGGTACCTGAGTGGCTCAGTTGGCTGAGTCTCTGCTTTGGGCTCTTATCACTATCCCAGAGTCCTAAGACTGAGTCCCGCACTGGGCTCCTTGTTCATTGGTGAGTAGGCTTCTCCCTCCCCCTGCTAATGTGCGATTGCTCTCAAATAAATGAATAAAATCTTTAAAAAAAACAATTAAAATTTAGGGTGTATCATTTTAATTATTACTAATTAAACAGTAGTGATGATTTACTTTAATTTTCATTTTCCTCTGCACTATATTGAGCAGCAGAGATATGTTGCACTTTTTTAGGGGGGCGGAAGGAGCAGAGCGAAAGAGAGAATCTTAAGCAGGCTCCGCCGCCTACTGGAGCCCCATGCAGGACTCATTCTCACAACTCTGAGATCATGACCTGAGCCAAAGTCAAGAGTCAGGCTCCCAACCAGTTTAGTCACCCAGGCTCCCCAATATGTTGCACTTTTAAGAATGAATATTATTCCTAAAATATCAGTTTCCAAAATGGCAAATTACTATTTGGTGCTTTTTAATTAATAATATGTTAATACCATCAATATTATCTGGGACTTGAAAAAAAAATATATATATAGGTTCCCATACTTTGGTTGGATATTTTATTCTGGAAAAATGATTGGCTGCATTTGCCTGTAAAATACTGATTTTGAACCACATATTTCGTTACGTTTTAAAAATTTGGCCTATGCATTCCCCACGTTTCTGACTGTAGCATATTCATTTAATACAGGTGGGCAAGGTAATAAGATTAAGTCTTTGAATGGGATTTTAACAAAGATTATAGTTCCGCTATCTAGAGAAGCTGTATCTGTGGGCAAATTGCGGAAGTTTGAATGAAGAAACAAAGGTTCAGTGCCAGGATCTGGTACTTTAGGTGAATCATTTAACTCTTCAGATTTTAATTTCTTTATTTCTGAATTGGGATGATAAAAAAAAACTTACTTCATGGGGTCATAATATGCTAACATATATGATAATACCTGGTTGAACTCTTCTAGTCCTGTCCTTTATTCTTCTTTTGGTTCTTCCTTACTCACAGCTCTTGTTTATCTGCATCAAGCCATTAAAACCAAAGAATCTTCGAGAATTCCACGTTGGATACTTGAGTAAAATCAGAGTTCTGTTAGCAGGGGAAAGGAAGGCAGTGATAGGTAGGCAACTGACATTTTCTAATTCTTGATACATGATCATCATTGAAAAATTGAGAAATAGTCTTCTATCACTGAAAGGTAAGTATGAATATTTTTAAAGTCTTTTTAAAACTTTTAAAGTATAACAATCAGTGTGAAATGCACATTTCATAATTGTACAGCTCTATGAAGTATCACAAAGTGAACATGACCTGGGTTAAGAAAAGAACATTGCCAGTATTCCCAAAACCTTTTGTGCCTCTCTCTTCTCATTCACTATCTCCTGTTTTCTGTCTTATAGTAACCACCATCCTACCTCTTAGTATCAGGAAATAATTCTGCCAGTTGTTTTTGGTATCATTTATTTGTATTTACCCCAGTTTTATTGAGGTATAATTGGCAAACAAAATTGAATATAGATGTGAGTATTTTGATATATAGACTATCTGCCTTAGAAGACATTTTAGAAATTTGTGAAGTTTTTTGAATTTGTGAATGAATTTCAGTGGACAAAATTTGCTTTCTTGAGTCCCTGAATTAACATCCATTTATGAAAAAAAATTAAGAAATTCCATTAAAATGGGCATGATTACATTATTAGTTGAAATTAGTTAACATAAGATGATATAAGAGGGCAGTGTGCTTTTGTTAATTACTCTGTAACATGGCTTTATAAGGTGGTTTTTTACCTGCCTACATTCAATGTTTTTGAGACTGTTGGGTATCTAAACCACTCAAGACCTTCCTAAGATATTCAGTGCTTATAAAAGTTGAATTGTTCATGGTGGGGGAAAAGGATCAAAAGCGGTAAGAGCAAAAGAAATCACTGGGAACCATGCAAGAGGTGCGTAAGATTGAAGTCAGGCTAAACCAGCAAACTGCAAGACTGAGAGGAGAATTGATTTGGGTCAGGAGCCAACTTCACAAAGTGCAATGGAATCAGCAGGAGGCCTCCTTGCCCTGAGGTCCATCATGCTGGCAGGAGGCACTGCAAATCCCAGTTGGTCCTGGCAAATTCCAGGAGACAAGATCTTGGCTGAAGGAGAGTGAGCAAGTAGAACTCCTCAAAAAAGTTGAAATCTTATACTCAGATGGCATATTTCAGTTTAATTCCTTCCTGTTTCTTTACTCTCTGAGCCTTTTTTTAAAAGGTCTTATACAACAGTATTTTTGAAAACTGCAATATGTATTTCAGAGTATGGATGGGCTATAACTTATCCTCTCTTCTGTGTATGTAAATTGTTTTACATGTTTTTGCCATTGTGTGTAATGTTGCCAGGACCATTGTTGTAAATAATCTGTCTCATCGTCTCTGATTTGACTAAAGAAATACTGGTGAAATAATTATTGCCTTTAAAGAAAAAATAAGTTTTATTATAAAATTATAAATGTAATTAATCTTTATTGTAAGAAATTTGGAAAAGGTAGAAGTGTACAGAAGAAGTAAGAATCATCCTACTATCCAAATATAATCCTTGCTAACATTTTGGTGTCTTTTTTCCCCCCTGTGTGTATGTGTATATATATATGTGCCATCTACCTGTAAATATATTTTTTATTTTTACCTATAATTTTGAATGGTTATATGATATTCTATTTTATGAGTGTCATGTAATTAATTTTCCCTATCCTTTATTTTTGGACAATTAAGTGTTTCTTTAAAAAAAAAATACCCATTTAATGATCGATTAGGACATACAGAATCTTCATGGTTTCCTATATATAATATCATGTCTTCTGCAAATAGTGACAGCTTTGCTTTTTTTCTTTCTAATTTTGATGCCTTTTATTTCTTTTTCTTGCCTAATTGCTGTGGCTATGACTTCCAACATTACACTGAATACAAGTGGCTACAATAGGCATGCTTGTCCTGTTCCTGATCAGTGCTTAGGACAAAACCTGCCATATGTCCGTTTTTTTTTTTTTTCTTTTTTCCCTAGGCAATACAGACAGTATACAAGGTAGTTTCCTGCCTCCTATGTAATTAATTAGAAGTAATTCTCAGATTACAGCTATCTTAGCTGTTTAAAGGAGAAGTTAAGGGTGCTCTGAGAATGTCTGATGGGAAGACCTAGGATGGCTTCCTTGAGGAAATGACACTTCGTTGAGATCTGAAAGATGAGCAGGATGAACCTGGAGAAGAATGTGCCTTTAGAGGGTTGTAGGGGAGAGTGGAACAAATTACACCATCTCACCCCTCCCCCCCCTTACCATTCTCACAAGGATGAATCAGTAGAGAACTGCTGAGCAGAGGATCCCAGCAGCACACTGGCATTCTCAAAGTCCATTGAAATGGGAGAAATGTGGATAAGTGAGGGCAGCTGGTCCAAATATAGCCAGAACCTTTAAGCAAGGAACAAATCTGTTTTCCTTTCAGAAATGAGGAAATTGAGGCTTTTGAAGTTACACAAGTCATGGGGCTAATACATTACAGAGCTACAGTTCATACTCACAAAAGAAAGGCCTGTGTTCTTTCCATAGTAATACGGCTCTGTTACCTCTCCATCAGTGCCTGCCTCAGAGCCATCACTGCCCTTTGCATCTCATCCTCCATGCCTTTATCTGGGTAGCCTCCCCCATCCCCTGTCTACCCCATACATAGATATGCTTCTTTCCAGAGGCTGATTCCTCTTGTTTGGCAATGTCTCATGTTACAGAAAGATGGTCCATAGGGTTGTGTACTTTGCTGATATGTGAGCTTTGCTGGAGTGACATGGTCTGCCCACAGCCTTTGTACATGTTGCAGGTGGTAACCTGAG